CAGCCAGCCCCAACCCCCCGGCCCCCACCCGAATGCAGCCAGTCCCAGCCTCTTAGCCTCCGATTCCTCCCAGCCAGGGGCTCCCCTCACCCAGCCTTTGGCCCCCTCATCTCTCCCCAGCCACAGCCAGCTCTGGCCTCTCCCTCCCCAGCCTCTTGCCCCTGGCCCTCCTACCCTTCTCCCTGCTCTCAGCTCTGGTCTTTCAGCCCCTCCACCCTCCTCACTGATTGCATCTGTGGTCTCTTGGGCCCCCTCCAGCTACCGGAGGATGGCTGGGGTCAAGCCACAGGGTGGTGACAGTGACTCCTTTCTGCACTTCGGGGCCCTGACGCTCTGGGAACCGGCAGGGAACCACCATCTCCTCCTGCCTCAAGCCAAGCACACTGAGGCCATCTCATGCTTGGAGCTCCAGCCTCAAATCTCCCCCCGCCTTCCCAAGATTAGCATACCAGCGCTAGCTTCCTTCTCTCCCCACAGTAGCGTGCACTTTCCCACAAGCCAGATCCGGCATGGAGCCTTGGGGTTTCCTTCTCCCTTTTCCTTCTCTCCTTCTTCCTCTCCCCCCTACTCCTCCAGTGCAGGAAGCCACCACTGGCATGTAATCTTGCGGGAGGAGCAGGTTCAAGGCTGGAGAGCCAGGCAGGTGACAGCCCAAGTGCGCCTAGCCCAAGGTGGCCAGAGGCAGTGGGTCCTCGCTGGATAACGGGATAAAAGGGCTCTGGAACACAGCGGAGAGCCGCTGCAACCACTCCTTGGTGAAGTTACCATAAGGTGGGTACATAACTGATGGGGAAGTTGTTCCCAGAGAATAATGATCAGAAGTAAACAGTCAGACTTGAAGGACATACTGAGTAGGGTCCCACAGGGATAACTTTTGTGTCCAGTTATGTTCAGTATCTTCGCTGTGATTTAAACAATGGACAGAGAACCTTTGTAAAGTTTGCAGATGATGCCAAGCTGGGAAGGGCTGTAAGACAGGATTAAAGTGCTAGAGGTTTTCTGCCACAGTGCTTCTAATGAAGACATGGCCTAAATCTGAACAAATGTTTGCAAGCAATGAACAGGGAGCTGAGGGTAGCACACTTACAGAGCCTTAAGGATGACAACTTGTAACATCCTATCAAAACAACTGGCTAATGTTATCAGAATAAAGTACAGTCATGATTTTTGCAGAAAGGGATAAGAAGGTTCCTTTGTTCATCATTTTCTGTCATGTTAGATCATGATTTCTACAGAGGACACCTTGCTCATTTGCCAGATCAGTAGTGGGGGGTCACCTAACCAGTGTGGTTAGATGTGGAAAGATGTTTTTCTGAATGTGTGTGCTCCTTTTGTGTTATCCCTGTTTGCTTCCCCAACTCTTCAAACAGCTGGCGCAGCAGAAATTGAGAGAACTGACCAAAAGAGGTGAAAGTAACACAAAACAGCCAGTTACACTGTATCATCAAGAAGGTGTCCGGCAAGGTCTGGTATGCCTTACCGCCTACAAACACTGTACCACCTTCAGTTCCTCTATTGAGCTGCCTGTCCTCCAGCTCCCTCTGTACAGCAGTAGCCCAGCAAGAGAACAGAGCTGGGCGGGAGCTGGTAGCGGCATGGCAGCTGGAGAAGCTGCCAGCATTCTGATCCTTTCCTCACTGCCCCACCCAGCACAGAACAATGCAGGTTAAATGACATCTCCCTTTCCCCCTGCAATTATCTGGTAAGTAAGTAAGATGTCCTCTGTAGAGCACAGTCTTGCTGGAGGTCAGGGCTGGGAGATCTGCTCTACAGAAGAGGCGAGGAGTCCTGTGGCACCTTATAGACCACATGCTCCAACACTTCAGTTAATCTATAAGGTGCCACAGGACTCCTCGCCTCTTCTGTAGAGCAGATCTCCCAGCCCTGACCTCCAGCAAGACTGCTGCAGTAGAGATGGAACTATAGGAGAGGTAGCACATTGGAAAGATTTGGGGCAGGGCTGGGGGAGCAGGACAGAGCAGGGAAAGCAGCAAAACTGCTTGCAGCTCTGCCAACTGTTGCACCATCCCCAGCTTTCCCCAGGTAACGTGGCACGGGGAAGAGCATGGAGGTCCCAGTCTTGGGGCGAGGCAAGGTCACATGGGGGGAGAGATCATGGGAGGAGGTCATGTGGCCCCTCTTAGCTGTGTCCTCCTCCCAACCTATCCCCCATCCCCATACCAGGAAAAATATTTTCACCACTGCTGCCCTGTGACCACAAGATGCAATAAGGTACAAAGGCACCCAGACAGGTTTATTTTTGATTAAGCATGGTAATAGTACCTGGCAGACTCTAGAAGGATACTAAGAAATACAAGCTCATGACAATGGACACAGCTCAGTAAGTGCCAGGACTTTCCAGCCCCCAGGGCTGGCCAAAGATACTCCCTCTGACATACATCTTTATATGTCAATGCAGCCCTTCTGACAGTTAATTATCCAACACTCCGCCCCCTCCCCTCCAGTGCAGGGACTGCAGCCTGAGAGCGCCTGATGGTGAAATTCCCCATCTCAAACTGGTTGCCCACCGACCAGTAGCTGTTTGCGACCCGCTATTGCAGGGCGATGGTGGGCTCAGGTGGGTGTCACGTCTCTGGAGGGCAGGTGCCAGCCAGGCACAGAGCTCTAGGAAGGTGGCCTTGTGCATTCGAAAGTTCTATACCCACTGCTGGTCATCCCACCACTCCAGGACCAGCCGGTGCCACCAGTCTGAACTGGATTCCAGCCTCCAGAACCTTCTCTGTTTAGTGGGGTGCAGTTGCCAGAGTGGAGCAGCCGCAGCCACCGAGAGGGTCCCCAGAAGGAGCTCGGGGTCCTGGTCCTCCAAGAATAGAAAGGCAGCTGGCAGCAAATGCTGCAAAAACTGCACCATGGCTGTGTGGGTCCATTGTCTGCCATGGGGCAGCTCGAGCTCCATGGCACTCAAGAACAAAGCTGTGACATCCAAGAAAGAAGAGGGCAACCTCATAGCAGGCACTGCTGAAGCTTTGCAGTCCTTCAAAGAGGTAGCAAGCACACAGTAGCAGCAAAAAAACAGCTGTCCAGGGAGGTCCCTTTAAGCATGTGTCTCTGCAAGGCTCCGGAACCAGCACTTGGAAGCGACTGGTGACCTAAAGCCCTGGCTGAAGTGGTTCTGGGTGGCCTTTTATGCAAGAGAGCATCCAATGAGTCTGGATGCTCTCTTTGGCACAAGCACATCACTTTTTTGATGCACATTTGTGTGTGGACATGCTCTTGCACAAGAAGTTTTTGCGGAAAATCTCTTCCAACAAAAGCTTTTTCCACAAAAAGCCTGCAGTCTAGATGTTACCTCTCTTATACCACTTTCTTAGGTTGTGTCTAAATTATATCCCTTTTCTCAAAATGTGAATATGCAGAGTCTATCCCAAATTGCAAATGAAGCTGAGATTTAAATTTTCTGTTTTACTGTTTTCTGTTTTACTGTTAGTCATGTTCCTGTTCTTCTGTTAAAAAAAAAACATTTATCTTCAGAATCACTGTTCTTTTCGAAAGCGCTACAGCTAAGTGCTAAAGAACTGAAATTGACAAAGCAGCGAAAGCGGGGATCAAGCAGGCATTCAGCCACTTTTACTGGCCCTGACAATGCCAGTGTCCCCCGGTTTTAAAAAATGTTCAGCTTGCTGGAAAGCCATGCTGGCAGCTGATGGCCATAACGCTTGCATTAGGTGCCTGGGGGAAGCATACATCCCCCAGAAGTGCACCCACTGTCGCAAGCTTACATCAAGGGCCCGGAGGGAGCGGGAGATGAAGATCTGAATGATGACGTTTGGCAAGGCACTGCAGCCTGACCCGATGCCTCCCGCAGCCATGGCAAAAACCTCCGATCATAAATGGATGGCGGCTTCTTGGGGACCGGCCATCTCAAAAAGAACAAAGCTGTCCCCGACTTGCAGGACGCTTACTTCCATGTTGCTATACACGTGGCACACAGACGTTTTCTTCGATTCCAACTGGAAGACGAACATTTTCAATACCGGGTTTTACTGTGCCCCCAGGGTTTTCACCAAAACCTTAGCAGTAGTGGCAGCCCACTTATGTGGGACGGGAGTGAAAATATTCCCCTATTTAGACGATTGTCTCGTCAGGGGCACAACATATATGGAGGCATGTCCAATGGTGCAGACAGTTTGCATCGCTGGGCCTTCTCATAAATGTAAAAAAATCATCACTGGTTCCGTCTCAAGATCTGATTTTTATAGGTGCACGGCTCGACTCAACCATGGCACATGCTTACCTACCAATGTAATGTTTTGTGGCGATCCAAGACCTTGTGCATACTCTGATGCATGCTCCAACAATTCCCTAGTGCAGAACGCAAGGTTACATTTTTGTTGCCTTTAACACTGGTTAGCCACGGTTTACATCCCAGCAAAGCACAGTGTCTACAGACCACTAGTGGTACCACAGTATGTACGATAGTCCCTTCAGTGGTGGACCAAACCGAGCAATCTTCTCACGGGCATCCCCTTTCATCGCCCATAACCTACAAGGCAAATAACCACAGATGCTTCCCTTACGGGTTGGGGGGCGCACATGAACAATCTGACAATCCAAGGATGCTGGTCGACACAAGAAATGCTGATGTATACCAATGTGCTCGAGTTGCGGGCGGTGCAGCATGCTTGCAAGCATTTTCAGTCCCAGGTATGGAATAAAACTACCAGAATCTTGACGGACAACATTGCAACCACGTTTTATATCAACAGGCAGGGAGGAGCCAGATCCCATTCTCTCTGTGCGGAGAGCGTCTGATTATGGAACTGGTGTATCCACAATAGCACTATTTTAACAGCATTCTACCTACCAGGCATCAACAATTCAATAGAAGACTCACTCAGCAGGTGTTTTCCCCATGAACACAAGTGGGAAATCCGTGCTCGGTGGGGGTTTCCGACAATACACTTGTTTGCGACGGAAAGCAATACAAAGTGTCCTGCCTATTGTTCCAGAGGTGGCATAGGATGTCATTCACTAGGAGATGCCTTTCTTCTCCATTGGAGAAGGACACTGTTGTATGCCTTTCCCCCAGTGGCTCTCAAGAAAATCAACATAGAAGGGGCTCGAGTGATTCTTATAGCCCCGGTGTGGACTCGCCAACCCTGGTACTCAATGCTCCACCAGATGTCGATAAGGGCACCATACCGTTATCTCTTCTCTTGAATCTCTTGACCCAGGACAATGGACCCCTGAGCCATCCAAGACCCGAGATTCTGCACCTCACGGCATGGATGCTCACCGGTTTAGCGATTCTGAACAACTCTGTTCCCAATGGGTCAAACAGGTGTTAATGCACAGTAGGAAGGAATCTACACGAGCGACATATACAGCTAAATGGTCCAGATTCCAGGCATGGTGTGCAAACAATAATCTAGATCTTCACTCTGCAACCTTACCTCATATATTAGAGTACATTTTACAGCTCCATGACAATGGTCTGGCAATAGCTTTTCTACGGGTTCATTTGGCAGCAATTAATGCTTTCCATCATATAGACGATTCCTCCTCTCTATTCACGCATCCTACCACAAAGAGATTCCTGAAGGGGCTCACAAACCTTGATCCACCCCGGAGACCCCCTCCGCCTCCGTGGAATCTGGATCTAGTATTGGAAACTTTGACTCGCCCTCCTTTTGAGCCTTTAACCACGATTCCATTACACATACTTACCGTCAAACTTTTGTTTCTCCTAGCCCTTACCTCAGCTCGTAGAGTAAGTGAGATAGCAGCCTTCATGGTTTCACCTCCTTATACGTTTTTTTCTAAAGACTCAGTGATGCTAAGATCTCACCCAGCCTTCATTCCAAAAGTCTCTTCTGATTTTCACATCAATGAACCAGTGGTCCTACCATGCTTCTTTCCTAAACCCTATGCCTCAGTACAAGAAGCGACACTACATGCACTGGATGTAAGGAGAGCCTTGGCGTTCTACATTGACAGAATGAGGGACTTTAGGAAAATGGACCGTTTAATAATATCATTAGCGGACCGTTCAAAAGGGTGCATCTCGAGACTGATAGTTTCATGCATACCTATGTGTCATTCTATACGTGGAAAACCTCTGCTGTGCCCTCCTAAGGCCCATTCCACCAGAGCGTTATCTACTACTATGGCCTTTCTAAGAGGAGTTCCATTTTGTGACATTTGCAGGGCAGCAACATGGTCCTCTAATGTTACCTTTATGAAACATTATGCTATAGTTGAGCATTTTGCTTTAGATTCCTCAATGGCTACGGCAGTACTCAATCATGATCATAAACTTTAATTCCGGAGCCCTCGGACAATTTGGATACTGCTCCAAAGTCACCAAGAGTGGAGCACCAACGGGGCCACTCGAAGAAGAAGTTACTCACCCTGTGAAGTAATGATTGTTCTTCGAGATGTGCCCCATTGGTGCTCCATGACCCGCCTTTCCTCCCCGCTCTGGAATTGTTTTTCTCTTTCAGCTGAGCGGGTGAGAGGAACTGATGGTTGCCGGTCTGTGCACGGCTGATCAAAGGCGCGAACAGCGCTTCAGGGAAGCCGCTTGTGTGCAGTCTGGTGGAACACGGCTATGAGAATTCTCCAAACCGCGGTGCCAGGATGGGACCCGACACCAAGAGTGGAGCACTCACGGGGCACATCTCGAAGAACAATTGTTACTTCACAGGGTGAGTAACTTCTTCTTTTAACTCGGTTAAAACAGCTTTTATCATAAAATCACAGTTATATAGGAAGGGACCTCAACAAGTCATCAAGTCTAGCCCCATACAAGGAGTCAGAAACAAGTAAACCTAAACCATCCCTGCCAAGTGTTTGTCCAACCTGTTCTAAAAGTTTCCAATGCTTGTGATTCCACAGTCTCCCTTAGAAGCCTATTCCAGAGCTTAACTAACCTTACAGTTAGACATTTTTTCCAATAAAAAACAAGTGCTTTTTTCTCAGGTACTCTCAACATTAGTTAGTCTACGCTTCCATGAGATCTGCACATTAGCATCAGACCCTATTCAAGAGAAAATGTGGACATATTCCACTAGGACCAAGGCAGTGTCATGGTATACTTTAAACATACCCCTTTTACACATCTCTCTAGTGCTGCAACATTTTCTTTGCAAACATTTTACAAAACCCTGTTCTTTGGATTTTTAGTAGGGGTATTGGAGGTATAGTTTGGCAGAATGGTACTTCAGCCTCGTTTATTATAGAGCCCACCTTCACATAAAGGAAATACTGCTTGTCATATTGTCATGGGGTAGGAATATGCAGAGGATACTTGAAGAAGAAATAGAGGTTAGTAAATCTGTAACCAGAAGTCTTCAAGATATCCTCTGCATCTGCATATTCACAGCTAAACCCACCCTCCCTCTTCCTTGGATTCCTAATTACAACCTGGGACTTAGAGGAGGTAAATCACTGAGTTGGCTGGAATGTCATGCCCCCCTTTTATAACTTTGCCCTCAGAAAATTAAGGAAGAGTTAAGGCAGAGGGAAAAGGTGTGAGAGTTTCAACAGGCTCTGCTACCTAAACCTTCCACCATCACATCTGCACCAGGGATGCCTCCCATAAATGTGAATATGCAGAGTCTATCCCAAAGAATGCTGGTTCCAGGTTAGAACCTTGATTGGAGGAAATAGAACAATACATTATGTGCTTTATTTCCACCTTGTCATTTAACGTGTGTTTATATTTCCTCCTTGCAGCAGCACGTCTGGCCCCACTGAGTTGTTTCAAAGTAGTGAATACTAAAGGTGACCGGTGTGGCAACTGTGGTGGGGATGGAATAACTTACAATAAGTGTGAAGACAAGTAAGTAATTGATATATATTGATGTCTCTCATACACTAGAAAATGTACCAAAAAGAAACCATTGTAAATAAAACCTCCTCATTTTTAAAAAATAATGTAGGAAAACAAATCATAGACAAGTAAGAGGAGATGCAGAACATCATTTTACCAGCAGTATAATTTAAGCCTTTCATTTTCACCCCCAACTGTGCTTGAAGCTTGATTTTCTTAAAGGTGGTTCTGCATATTTTCCCATGCATCCCAGGCCATGGAAAACATTGTCTACACAAAGTTTCTTTTAGCCTCAGAAGTTGGTACACAGTCTAAAAGAATAGTTGATGGTCTGCTCAGCTCTGCTGTTTTGTGTTGAATGGCTTGTTGCTGACGAGTTTACTTGCTTGTAGATATTGAATCTTAGATGTTGCTTGTTGCTGAAATCTTACATCTTGATGGTTAGCCAGGAGGGTGGAGGAAACACAGGCTTCTTTGTGAGGCATGGTAATATAGCAAAGCCAGAGACGTGTAGTCAAGGGCCACAGCAGCAGCAACACAGTTTAATCAACAAGCCAGCATCCAGGCTTTTTTCTTTAATTCAGTTTTTGAAACTGGTGGCTAGGTGGTTCCTCCCTTGAAACACCATCTTGGGAGTCCAGTGACAAAAAAAGAATGGAGCACATTCCTTCTAAAGTCACTGGCAGCACCCAATTGGTGTTGAGTAGGTTAGATTTATTTAAACCAAGAGCTTTCCCATTCTGGTCATTTCAAGCTCAGAAAGTCCATTGATTAAGAAATGTATCTAGTCACTAGGTCCTAAGGTATTTTGAGAAATTGCAAGTCTGGGTCAGATAGACGTTATCTTAAACATTCTAAAAAAGTCAAAGTAATAAAATTTTACACAGCTAGCAAAAAGATGAAATTGAAATAATAGGAAAATATCTTAGACATCAACTCAGGCATGCATATGGAACACAGTTCCTTATTCTTCAGACAGATGCTTATAAGTTCCTGTAAGGGAGTGGAGAAAGAAGGGGCCAGTGTCCTGGGTGTTAAAGATTGCTTCTGAGCCCAAATGGTGCTGCCCCACTTTACTTGCAAACAATACCTGGTCTGAAGAAGAGAAAAAGAAGGAACCTAGCTCAATTTGGGGCTGACTAGCAAGGAAGCAGGTGCCCAATTCAGCAGTGTAAGGACACAAACCAGACCCTGTCCACTCATCAGCCTTCGGACCAAGTAAGTCTCATCCCATCCCTCTGGGAAAAGGGTGGGGGGGACCTACTGAGAAGGTGGGTGAGAGGAATCATAGAATCATAGGGTTGGAAGAGACCTCAGGAGGTCATCAAGTCCAACCCCCTGCACAAAGCAGAACCAGTCCCAACTAAATCATCCCTGCAGTTGTCAAGCCAAGACTTAAAAACCTCTGGGGATGGAGACTCTACCACCTCTCTTGGTAACCTATTTCTGTACTTCACCACCCTCCTAGGGAAATAGTTTTTCCTAATATTCAATCTAGACCTCTTCCATTGTAAATTCAAACCATTGCTCCTTATTCTGCCATCTGTCACAACTGAGAACAGCCTCTCTCCATCCTCTTTGGAATCCCCCTTCTGGTAGTTGAAGGCTGCTATCAAATCCCACCTCAATCTTTTCTAGACTAAAGAAATCCTCATAAGTCACGTGCTCCAGTCCCCTAATAATTCTTGTTGCCCTATGCTGGACTTTCTCCATTGCATCCATATCCTTTCCATAATGGAGGGCCCAGAATTGGATGCAATACTCCAGATGTGGTCTCACCAGTGCTGAATAGAGGGGAATAATCACTTCTCTAGATCCACTAGCAGTACTCTTCCTAATGCACCCAAAATATGCTGTTAACCTTCTTGGCTAAAAGGGCACACTGTTGACTTCTATCCAGCTTCTTATCCACTGAAAACCCCAGGTCTTTTTTGCAAAACTGCTGCTTTGCCAGTCAGTCCCCAGCCTGTAACAGTGTTTGGGATTCTTCTGTTCCAAGTGCAGGACTCTGCACTTGTCCTTGTTGAACCTCATCAGATTTCTTTTGGTGCAATCTTCCAATTTGTGTAGGGCACTCTGGATTGTATCCCTACCCTCCAGCGTATCTAACTCTCCCCCTGGGCTTCGTGTCATCTGCAAACGTGCTGAGGGTGCAATCCATCCCCCTCATCCAGATCGTTAATAAAGATGTTAATTAAGCTAGGGGAGAGGTAGGTAAGATGGTCACTACATTTGTCATTTTCCAATCATCCGGGACGTCCCCTGATTGCCACAAGATTTCAAAGATAATGGCCAGGGCTCGACAGATAGTGTAATCTACTCACCTGTGGCAAGTAGAGTACACCCTGGAAGAGCCGGTGTAGAGCGATCTGCGCATGCGCAGAATGATCTGTGCATGCGCAGAGCGCAGAACTGTGTGGCTGGCCTGATAATGACCATTGATTCTGCAATCATATTTGCCAATACGCCAGCTCTCTTGGATGCATTGCATCTGGCCCCATGGATTGGTGTATGTCTAATTTTTCTAAATAGTTCTAGCCTTTTTTTTTTCTCCACCAAGGACTGCCCACCTCCATTCCATACTGTGTTGCCTAGTGCAGTTGTCTGGAAACAAACCTTGTCTGTGAAGACAGAGGCAAAAAAATGCATTGAATACTTCAGCTTTTACCACATCATCTGTCACTAGGTTACCTTTCACATCCAGGAAGGGTCCCACACCCTTTCTGATCACCCTCTTATTGCTAACATGCTTGTAAAACCTTTCTTGTTACGATTTACATCTCTTGCTATCTGCAATTCCAATTGCACCTTGTCTTCCTGAGTACACCCCTGCATACTCAAGCAATATATTTATACTCCTTCCTAGTCATCTGTCCAAGTTTCCACTTCTTGTAAGCTTCCTTTTTTATTTAAGTTCGCCCAGGATTTCACTGTTAAGCCAAGTTGGTCACCTACTATATTTGCTTTTCTTACTGTGCATTGGAATGCTTTGTTCCTGTGCCTTCAGAAAGGCTTCTTTAAAATACAGCCAGCTTTCCTGGGTTCCCTTCTCCTTCATGTTAGCATTGCAGGGATTCTGCCCATCAGTTGCCTGAGAGAGTCAAAGTCTCCTTTTTGAAGTCTGTATTTTGCTGCTCTACTTTCTTCCTTTGTTCAGGACCCTGAAATGGATCATTTCATCATCACTGCTTCACCAGGTTACCACCCACATCTTCTTCCCCTACTAATTCCTCCCAGTTTGTGAGCAGCAGGTCAAGCTGCACATGGCCTCTGGTCCGTTCCTAAAGCACTTGTACCAGGAAGTTGTCGTCAACATTCTCCAGAACTTCCTGTATTGTCTGTGTACTGTGTATTGGTCTCCCAACAGATGTCAGGGTGATTTAAGTCCCCTATGAGAACCAAGGCCTGTGATCTGGAAACTTCTGTTAGTTGTCTGAAAAAAGCCTCATCCACCTGACACTGACCATGATCACAACATCACCCCTGTTGCTCCCATCTCTAAACTTAACCCACAGACTTTCAACAGGCTTTTCTTCTGCTTTATACTGGAGCTCTGAGCAATCCTACTGCTCTTTTACATAGAGTACAACTCCTGCATCTTTTCTCTCCCACCTGTCCTTCCTGAACAGTTTATATCCTTTCATGAAGGTGCTCCAATCATGTGTCATCCCACCAAGTTTCCGTTATTCCAATACATTCATAGTTCTTTAACAGTGCCAGGACTTTTAACTCTTCCTGCTTGTTTCCCAGGCTTCGTGTAAAGACACCTTAGACAACTAGCGGATTGCCCTAATTTCTCAGTACAAATCATGTGTCCTCCTCTTTTGCACCTTCCTCCTTATTTCTCTTCCTGGGTATACCACTCTCCCATTTACCTCAGGGCTTAGATTGCCATTCCCCAACAAACCTAGTTTAAAGCCCTCCTCACTAGGTTTGCAAGCCTATCTGTGAAGCAGACCTTCCCTCTCTTCAGTAGTCGGATTCCATCTCTTATTAGCAATCCTTGTGCCTAGAACCGCTCCCATGGTCAAATAATCCAAAGCCCTTTCTCCAACAGCACTTGCTCAACAATGCATTAACTTCCAAGAGTCAACGGTCCCCACCCGAATGTTTTCGTTCAACAGGGAGGATGGACAAGAACACAACTTGCACCTCAAACTCCTTGGTCTTTCTTTCCAGCACTACATAATCTGCAATGACCCACTCAAGGTCATTCTTGGCAGTAGTTAGTTTCTGTTTGGAGAAGTAGGGAGGGGTAGCAATCTGAAGCTTTGATCGGTCTCGGAAGACTTTCGGTCACATCCTGAATTCTAGCTCCAGTTAAGCAGCACACGTCTTGAATTTCCCAGTCTGGAGAGCACATGGATGACTCCGTCCCTCTTAGGAGGGAGTCCCCGACCACCACCACCTATCTCCTTCTCTTGGGAGTAGTGGTTATGAAACCCCCATCCCTAGGACTATGCATCCCATGCCTTCTGGTCGATGGGGTCTCCATGAGATCCCTTGTCTCAGAGGTCTCTTCTTAAAGCATTCTCCAATGTAGTACCAGTGAAGAGAGCCTGAAAGTGGTTACTTACCTCTGTTGGGATTGGGGCTACCTGAATTGTCTGTCTTCTCTTGGAGGTTACATGCTGCCGATTTTCTTCCATGTTGTGCACTGCCTTCTCTGGTTCTTCAGCATCCTGTGCCTGCTGTATCAAATGCTGACTTCTATCCAGAAAGTCTTCATTTTCTTTAATGAAACACAGGGTTGATACTTGAGTCTCTAGTCCTTTAACCTTCTCTTCCAATATGGAGACCAGCTTGCACTTGGTATAGACAAAATCACTTCTGACTTCTGGGAGGAAGACAAACATGGCACATGCTGTGCAGGTCACAGCAGATGTTCTTTCACTATCCATTCTGACTTCATTCTGAGAGATTCCTCAGATGTTGTTTTTATCACATCCTGAAGCCTGAAGGGGAGAAGAGAAAGAGAAAAAAGAAAAGAAAAAAAAAGAAAAATGCTAACATCTCTGGAGCTTTGCCAAGGCAAACTCCCTCACGACACACCCTGTTAGCTGCTCCTGTTTGCTAAGCTCCCTGGTTGCTTACTAGCCGGCTTTATATAACCCTCGCCTTCCTGATTAAAGCTTGTGAAATGAACGAAGAGTTAGGTTTCAAAGCCTCATTAAGATGCTCACAGCTTTCAGCTGCTAGCCTCAGCAAATGGTCTTTCAAACAAACAGCTAAGCACATGGGCCTCCAAACAAACAGAGGAACACAAGCTCACCACACAGTATCTTTCAGGCAGAGTGATGGCTGTTGACTGAAGGCCCCATTGTGCAGGCAACAGTGCAGAAGTAAAAGTGGTAATACATACTATGCCATCCTTACTTCTGCTGGGCTGCTGGCTAGCCATCATCACTTTCTTGCTGCTGAACTCTGAAGGCAAAACAACCACCGCCATAGAAAAGCAGCAGTAAGACTAGCAGTACCATAGCCCTCCCTACTATGAGACTCTCCTCTGAAACACCATTTTGGGTCAGGACACCTATAATTACAACACTGAAATTTTACATTTAATAGCTGAAATTTTTACTATTTTTAAAATTCTATTATCATGAAATTGACCAAAATGGACCATGAATTTGGTAGGGCCCCGCTCATAGTTTTTCCTAATAGCTAATTAACTCTTTCTTGGTGCACATTAAGCCCAATACTTCTTGACCTACCTTCAGTGGACATGGAGGGCAGTGGCTAACACTTCTCCATGTATAACAGCTCTTGACATACTGGAAGACTTTTTTCAGGTCCCCACTCCTGCACCCTTCTTTGCTACACTAAACATACCCAGTTATTTTGACCTATACACTATAAGTCACTTTTTAAAAACTTTTTGTTAATTTTTGTTGCTCTATTCTGGACATTCCAATTTATCTATATTGTGTGGCTCCCAAAACTAGGCAAAGACCACAAGTTCTGCAGAATTCTTCAAATCATATGTAAACCTTTAAGCAATTGTTCTTATTTTTTTTTCTTTCAGTGATGTTTTGTGTGGAAGACTGCAGTGTGTAAATATTAAAAAAATACCTGACATGAAACGTCTTAGGTCCATAGTTCAAACTCCAGTTGATGAGACCTTGTGTTGGGGTACAGAATTTCATGCTGGGAGGGACATGGTGGATGTTGGCTCAGTGGAAGATGGCACAACATGTGGTGAAAACAAGGTACTGTAGTAAGTGCAGTTCAATGTGTGAATGGGATGGAGCTGAGATGAAATGGAGAAGATGGTCTTGAATTCCTGTTCCCCATTCCGGGTTTCTTTCTGTCCCTTTACCTGAAAAGCTCCAGAGATCACTGTAAGGACAGCTTCTTCTCACCAACAAATAGATTCAGGAGCCCATCTTAACTCTTTACAAGAAGCAGCATGTATTCAATTCCCTTTTATGTAGTGGGTAGAGAAATGTTAATTAGGGGTCAGTGTCTCAGTTCTGGGGATCACTGCACTTTTGAAAATCCCCCCTAAGGGCCTAAATATCTTAATCTGTCCCTAGCATTCTGTTTTCTTTTTTGACTGCCACTGCATATTGAATGGATATTTTCAGAGCACTATCCACAGTGTCTCCAAAATCTCCCTCTTGAGTGGTTACAGCTAAATTAGCCCCCATCATTTCGTATGTTTCTTTGGTTATCCCTCTTTCCACATAAATGTTAAGTGAAATTATATTATGTTTGCTATTACCTATAATTTCAGCTATATTCACTTCGTGGACAAGATCCAGTGCACCCTTAAGGTCTAAATCAAGGATTGCCCCTCTCATTCTGTATTCTGTGATTATCTGCTCAAAGGAGAAGTTATTAATGGTGTCTTAAAATTTTCTCTCTGCATCCTCTCCGCTAGTGACATCTTCCCAATCAATAGGAACATAGATGAAATCACCATTATTATTAAATTATCTATTTTACAGCTTCTGTGATATCTGGGAGCATTTCACAATCACCATCGTATTCCCGCCTTCAAAAATAGACTAAAATCTTTCCACAATGTTTCTGTGGTGCCTATTATAACAATAGCCTATGCAACACTGTACTTAAGTTCACCCATTTTACTATTTAGTCTTCTAGAATTTGTATACAAGAATTTTTAAAATGTCACTTTTTAATTGCCTGCCTTTATGTGATGTCATTGAATGAGCCTCTCTTTTTTTAATTTGTCTGTTTCACTTCAATTCCTATCTGTTTTATCAGCGTTGAGCCTCTCCTCTTTACTTGAATGTTGAGATCCAACATTGTGGAATGTCTCTCCATATTATGTGGTACTCCACATCAGTTGGCTTTCCCTCAGTTCTTAGTACCACCTTCCCCAAGTTTCTCCCATTCCTAATAAACTTAAATCCCTGCTCTCTGTATCATCATCTGATCCATACATTGATACCTTTCCATGTTTTCTGTCTGTCTAACCCTGCACATGGAACTGGAAGCATTTCAGAGAATGCTGACATGGAGGTCCTGAACTGTTACACTGAAACTTAAATATGACCTCCAAACCCTCTTTTCTCCTTTCCCTATGTCATTAATACTTAGATGTCTATGACCACAAGCTTCTCCACTGCACTGCATAAAAGTGTGTTTAGATGTCTCACAAAATCCACAACCTTCACACCCACGGGCAATTCATCATATGGTTCTCCCAGTCATGACAAACCCGGCTATCCATGTTTCTAACCCAGGAAACACTAATAATAAAAGAATAATAAAAGAAACACACCACAGAAATACTAATCCAGAAAAACTACCACTGCACAAATCCCATTGGCCCCTCTGTCCATGTATCTGTCCAAGTGACACAATCACAGGACCTAACCACACTAGCCTCGGCATCCACCTACACATCTACTAATGCAATGTATGCCATCTTGTGCCAGCAGTGTCCTTCTGCCGTGTAAATTGACAAAATGAACAGTCTCTGCATCAAAGGTTAATGGACTCAAATCAAACATCAAGAAAGTTAACACGTGAAAGCCAGTAGGAGAACATTTAACGTCTCTGGACACTGAGTAACAGATTTAAAAGTAGCCAACCTTTTACCAAAAACAAACAAAACAAAACAAAAACCTTCAAAACCAGACTATAGCGACAAACAGCAAAGCTTCAATTCATTGGCAAATTTAACACGATCAAATTAGGACTGAATAAGGACTTAGAATAGTTATCTCACTACAAAGGAAATTTTCCCTTTCTTGGTATTCAGACCTTCCCATCAGCTGCTGAGAGTGAGACACATGTACTCTAACTGAATTGGCCTCATTAACATTGGTCTTCCACTTGATACGTAACTCCTTTCTTTTGTTATGCTAATATTTTCATCCTCCTCCACAGCACAGAGACTGTCAGAATGGATCAGGAACCACTCTTCTGTGTCCCAGAAAGGCTCATCTGTGTACTTCTGTGTCTTTTAACGCCTCCAGTTCAGCCATTCTGGTTTCCAAAGCCTGTTCTCAGTCTCTGGGGACCATATCCTCTTTGCACCAGATGCATATGTATGTTGCATGCCCACAAAGTAATCTTCCTTGCTTCTTTCAATGCAGTACATTGGGTAGCCCCTGCTCTGCTTTTGGACTTCTGGATGCACTCTTTTCACTCCTGCAGCTTTCTTCTTTTTTGTGGTTTAGTAATGTTTGGATTCATGACAAACCTTGACCAGCAATCTCAGCAGTCACTTATTCCAAGGATTACAAATGGGAGCTAGATTTACATTTTTCTGACTTTAGGTTTTCTAAGAGTGTATCTGTCCAAAACTACCGCTGCACAAATCCCATTGCCCCCTCTGTCCATGTATCTGTCCAAGTGACACAATCACAGGACCTAACCACACCAGCCTTAGCATCCACTTGCACATCTACTAATGCAATGTATGCATTACCACACCCACCAAGAAGTGCAATACATTCTTCTTGAGCTGAGGGGTAGGACCTCACTTCTTTATCCCTTGGATGAAGGGGCTTTTTTGTGCATCTCCTCCACTATTGTTGATCTTGAAAGTGTTGAGCAAGGTCACATATCACCATTACAGGGCTATTTTAGTTGTCCAAGTGAATATAAAACAAGTCCAGCACCCTCACCTTGCTTCTTCTTTCGTGTTGAGTCTTTTCTGTTCTTTCCCCACATGTTGTCTTAAGAGTCCAGTTGGACTCTTCAACCAACTCTGGGTATTGTCTCACAGCGTGGTTACTCAATGGTGCTTTGGGTTAGAGGCTTCATGTTCTACAGAGGTAAAACAAATTCTTTTACACTGTATAAAGTTGTCTATGCAATATATTTATCTTCAAAAATGCAAGAGATTTCACCACTGGTTTATCTAGTGACAGATTTCAGCTGTTCTATTCTGTTCCTGATTACTGTTTGGAATTGAAATAGTCAAGATTCTCCATGAGCTCATTCAAGAATCCTTTGATGGCAAAAACTTTGTTTCATTCCTTTGTTGAGGGGCTGTCAGGCTATGTCTACACTTGTGCAAGAAATCCCTGCCAAGCGTCCACATTGCCCTGTTGCACAAGAGCTCCTGCGCAAGAGGGCTTACACCTGTTAGAAAAGAGCGTAGCTCTTGTGCAAGAAGCCCTCTCTTACCATGCTGTACTGTAAATCTTCTTGCGCAAGAGCCGGTGGGCAGTGTGGACGCTCTGCGGATTCTTGTGCAAGAACAAGCATACTTGCACAAGAAGCCGCGAGTGTAGATGTAGCCTCAATGTTTTCTTACCTCCTAATGCAAAGATGCATTAACAGGCTAATGAATCTTCATGATTTAGAAAGCCTACCCTTTTATGTGAAATAAACTTTGTTTTTATCACTTAGACACCCCTCTTAAGCTATGGCCCCTTGTCTTCATCTTCACCTGGCCACTTGAAAAGTCAGGATAAGAGGGGTGTTAAGAGATGTGCACCTCACATTGGTCTGACAAGAACTGGGTGGGACCAGTTGATTCTAGAGAATCAACTGATGAGACCGCAAAGGTGGAGGCTATAGAAAGCTAGGTATTAGACTAGAGAGGGAGTTGGCAGTAAGATAAGGGTAGTCATCCCCTGGAAAAAAAGATTTTTGTGGCTGCAGGAAGACAAAGTAAAGAGACTTATTAGGAGGAGGTACAAGGGAAGATGGCAAATTCAAGGAGGAGGCGGGGGGCAATTAGGTAGGAAAAACCTTAGGTAAACAGCAGCAAGGCTATAGGCCGGGGTGGGCAAGAGGTGGCTAGTGGGCCAAATCCGACCCTCCAAGCCCCCAGATCCAGCCTGAAGCTGCCTACCTGACATGCTTCCTAGAGAGTAGCTACAGCTGCTTTAAACAGCAGGCTGCTAATTGCTCTGCAATCTGGGCAGGGAGGAGAAAGCTTTGTGGGCTGCTCCCACCCTCTAGCAAAATCCCCAAACTCCCAGTGGCCAGTTTCTGGCCAATAGGAGCTGAGAAATTTTGCTGATGGCAGGGGGCAGTGAATGAAGCCTCCTCACTTCCTCCCTTCCCCCCTCTCCTCCCACTCCCTTTCTCTCTCCCTCCATTCCTTCCTCCCTCCCTGTCCTCTTCTTGTAATCTTTGGATACGTTGACTCTCAAAGCATTTGAGAACTTGTACAGTATTTTGCACCTAGAACAATCTGTCCTGAGCTAGGATTTCGGGATCACAGGAATATATGCCACATGCTTTCACAGTGGCCTGTTATAAAGATATATAACACTTATACTGACCACAGATGACCATCTTCTGGATCTGTGTATCATCCATGCTCATAACATGACCAGTCTAGCAAAACTGTTCATAAGCATTATTTCCATGCATATGACACCACAAAGCTTAAGGACCTCTGTGTTAGGAATTTTGCCCCACCAGCTCACATGGGCAATCTTCAAGAGGCAGTGCATATGCAACTGATCCAGTTTCAAAACATGGTGGTGATATATGGTCCATGATGCCGAGCCATACAATAGGATATAGAGGACAGCTATCTGATAGATTCTTACCTTCATATGAAGTTTAACACCGTGGTAATTTCAAAAGTATTTGGTCAATGTTCTGAAGGCAGAGCTGGTTTTGGCTAGGTCGGCAGATGCATCGTCATCATCATCTATGCTGGAAGATAGTATGCTTCCAAAGTAATGAAACTTATCAACAGCTGTAAGGACAGTATCAGCAGCAGTGATCACTGACATTCTGGGATCTTTCCAAGTAGACTATGACATAATCTATCTTCTTGAGGCTCACAGTGATTCCAAAACAGTGAGCAGATATAGGAAAACAAACAAAAATCTGTTCTTCCTTGACTGAATGAACCAACAATGCACAGTCCTTAGCAAACAAGAAGTTATGGAGAGTTGTAGTGAACACTTTGGTGAGATCCTGAAGTCTTCAGAGGTTGAAAATGCTACCATCCCTTCAGAATTGAATAGGTTAGGTATGCCCAATGTGCAATCCTTGAAAGCAACTAACAGCATAATTGAAAAGAAGCTGCTGAATAGGACAGGGGCAAGGACACATCCTTGCTTTGTACCATTTGATAATTCAAAGGATGCTGATGTCTCTTCATTGTTAAGAATGTGGCCCAGCACACCATCATGAAAGGACTGAACTATGTTGATAATTTTTTCACCCAAGTACCTTCCAAAGCCTGTTTCTGCTGACAGTATTGAATGCCTTAGTGAAAATCCTTTAGAAATCCTGATGTTGCACTCTACATTTTACTTGTATCAGCCTGGCTGCAAATATGTCAGCAGTGTCTTGACTGGCACAAAATCCACACTAACTTTCAGGAATGATGCCATAGGTGAACACATGTAATGACAGCCAGTTATAGAGGATATGGCCCTGGATCTTACCAGTTCTAGATAGCAGTGAGATGCCTCAGTGGTTATCACAGCATGCACAGTCACCTTTTCCCTTATATACGTGTACCATCAGGGCATCTTTAAGTCCTGTGGGACTTGCTCTTTCTCCCAAATGGTGATAAATAAGTGGCCACCACCAGTTTTATAAATCTCTGATGGGATCATGTCACTGCCAGGTGCCTCTACAGATTTCATCTGCTTGGCAGCTTTTTCTACTTCATCAAGAGTTGGTGGTATAACCAACTGTGAATCATTAGGCCACTAAGGAATCTCCTCTAGAGTGCTGTTGTTGAAAGTTGACATCTGATTTAATACATTGATGTCTACATTAATACATTGTGAAAATGTTCAGCCCAACAGTCAAGGATTTTAGCATGATCAGTAACTGCAATCAGCAGAATGCACTGGTTCATAACCAGTAATGCATGGCCCATAGACCGCCTTCAGCACATCACAGAATGCTTTAAAATCATATCTATTGGCTGAATCTTGAAGTTTGACTGCTTCACATTTATACCCAGGCCACTTTCATTTGCCATAATTTGATTTGTGCTTTCTGTTTAGTTCAAATGTATGCTGATTTCCTAGAGGCATTCTCTTTATCATTGATTCAGGCTAGGTGTGTGTCATGCATCTTATCAAGAAGAACTGGCCACAAGTTTGAAGAATGATGATGCCACTTGAGTTCTCGCTGATGTCCAAGTGTAACCCACATGCCTTCTGGGTGTGTTTTACTGGTCCTGCCTTTTGGTGTTATACAAACACTTTTGGCCTTGTAATACAGTCCTGATCAACTCTAGCATTAAAGTTGCTCAATATCTATAGTTTGAATTTAAAAGGCACTGAAAAGATCACTGAATCCAGGATATTGTAAAAAGCCTCCTTTTCATCATCTGCAGCAGGCAAAGTAGATGCATATTCACTAACTAGTACAAGGCACTGTTTCTGCTCAGTCGAGGCTTTGTAGTCATGAGGTGAGGACTGATGGCATGTGGCTGGGATTCAAGCTGGGGAACTAGTGATGTCCTGATGGCAAAGCCAACTCCCGCCTGTTTTGGATGTCCACCTAATCATATGAATAGCCTGATTCAATCTCTGTGAACTGGATGGCACAAGACATGTGTGTTTTGCTTAAGATTGCAACATCAGTATTAAAATGTGCCAGTTCTCTATCAATGATTGCTGTCTCCTGTCCTGCATTCATGGCAATCATTGCTGTCAAGAAGGGTGTGTATATTCCAGAATGGAAAGTGTAGTTTGTTTGGTTACTGATTTTCTTTTCTGATTGCAAAATTGGATATCCAGTCAGTCAAGGATAACCAACAAGAATTAACTGGAAGAAGCTGTGTTTAGGGATTGTTTTCTCTCCCCCTCTTCTTTTGAAGAAAGCAGTGCTGTCCCTAAATAGGGCTGCTTTGTCACCTGGGAAAGATATGGGAGATGCTGTTGTTCTAGGTTAGCACATGGACGCCTAGGTGTAGGTTTGAAGAAGGATGATGCCACTTGAGTTCTCGCTGATGTCCAAGCGTAACATCTGATGTCAGTTGCCCATTGCCATAGGACTTTCATCAAGAGGTAAATTTTTAGCATCAAGAGATATACCTTCACATATGAATGGGTTTAAGTGAGGCTGGCTTGTGAGTTACCACCCCACTCTCTCTCCTGCTCCTTACGAGGAGTAAGGGAAGCCAATGGGAGCATTTGTTCCCATTGGCCTTCTGCCATGTGAAAGGCTTGAAAATGCAATGTAAGATACATCAACTCCAGCATGTAATTTACATAGCTGGGGTTGGGTATCTTACTTAGACCTTCCCATATAATGTAGGCCAGGCCAAGCAGACTGGATAGGCTACTTACTAGACATAACTATAATTTTGGGAAGCACAGGCCAGAACTCTGATCTTGGGTTTTAAGAAGCCAATCCTCTACTGCTTGAAATAACCTAGAGCTCCTATAATAGTTAAAGAATTGGAATGGAGATACTTGATGACTTTTAGCTGTTAGCGCCTTATAACTTAGTTCCTATATTCCCCCAGCATTATTGTCTTGATTGCCAGCTCATGTCTGTTTCAAGAAACTTATAGTGCAAAGTTTTACACTACAAATATGTAAAGTAGTAACATTATTTGCCAGAAACTGACTCTTTGAGTACCCGCTCAAAAGTGTGACTTTGTGCTAAAAAACTCTGAAACAACAGTTAAACTATTATCCTTTCTTTTTGACGTGTAGCATGGTTTTCACATTTAGTAATCACTCAGAATACAAGCTTTCTTAATGCCATCCTATTAGCTAATATATATTTATTTGAACTTTTACAGATATGTTTTAACAAGACATGTGTCCATATATCAGTTCTGAATTATGATTGTAATTACACAAAATGCAGTAACAGAGGGGTAAGTAGTAAAGGTTTTAGCATCATCAGAATTTGATAGTATAATATGTAGAACACTGAACTTAGTTTCTTAGAAGTGATGCTTCATTTTAGACTTTAATGATATTATTTTTGTCAGACAAGATCTTAAAATTAAAGTATTTTGTGGAGGTAGCTTATCAATATGATGCATGTTACTCTTAGACCTGCAAAATAACCAGCTCTCATGCCATTCGGGGTTTTATTGCCAATAAATTATTTCTATTTGTTGCTCTTACAGTCAGAATGTGGCTACACTGCTGCTTTTTTCGATCCTTTTGTTGGCAAAGGTTTTTTTCGATCCTGGGCCAAATGTCGGGAAAAAACCCTCTTTCAGAAGCTCCCCTTTTCCTCGTAGAACAAGGAATACAGGGATTTCCAAAAGAGCACATTTGCTCTTCCAGAAAAAAAAATGGAAGAGCAAAAATGTCCCCTCCAGTATCCCGAAAAACTCTTGTAGTCTAGCTATACCCTCAAGTGGGGAGTTAGTGCAGAACAAGCAAATTAGGTGTTAGGCTGAAGGTTTGCTGAGGTCTTCAAGAATACTCCATGACTACGTCTACACTGGCCCCTTTTCTGAAAGGGGCATGCTAATTTTCAACTTCAGAATAGGGAAATCCGCGGGGGATTTAAATATCCCCCGTGCGATTTAAATAAAGATGTCCGCCGCTTTTTTCCGGCGTGGGGAAAAGCCAGGAAAAAGCGTCTAGACTGGCCTGATCCTCCGGAATAAAGCCCTATTCCGGAGGATCTCTTATTCCTACTTCAAAGAGATCCTCTGGAATAGGAATAAGAGATCCTCCGGAATAGGGCTTTATTCCGGAGGATTGGGCCAGTCAAGACGGTTTTTTCCGGCTTTTCCCCAAGCCGGAAAAAAGCGGCGGACATCTTTATTTAAATCCTGCGGGGGATATTTAAATCCCCCGCGGATTTCCCTATTCTGAAGTTGAAAATTAGCATGCCCCTTTCGGAAAAGGGGCCAGTGTAGACGTAGCCCATGTGTTGGATATTACTCTAGTGAATCTTAAAGCTAACCAAGAAACAATTTAGAAATTTTAGAGGGTTGCACACTTCATTGCTTCCAGAGTCAAGCTCAGTGTGCTATCTTTTATCCCTCTATTGGAGAGTAACCTGCTATAGAGGGAGAGGGGAGGAAGAAAAAAACCCAAGCAGCTGACTCCATTTAAGAAGTCCCTTCAGAGCTTATGGGTATGAAAGGGTTTTGCAGCTATACAAGCCATAGCAGTTAATTCCAAAGAAGGGGAGAAAGGTGTGGTGACACTGTACAAGATGCTGAAGCAGTACTGTTGGAAATAATTTTCCTAATACATTTCCAAGGTTCACCGTGACATAGTTTCTAGTTATTTATTCTTTTATTTCTCTAAATGTAGTTAGTTGGTGTTTGCTTATATTCAAAATACAAATATCAAAGTCGTTTCCAAATATGCACAGAAGGGTCAGACTTGGGTGATATATTCCCATCCTGGCATAACTGCAGAGGAATAAGAAAAAGCTGTGGCAAAGGAACTCCTGCAAACCTTGCAATTTATACACGATAATAAGCAAGCAATTTCATTGTTGATTATTAGACCATAATTACTGCTTAGTCAGGATATATCTACACTAGCCCCCTAGTTCTAACTAGGGAGGCTAATGTAGGCATTCAAAGTTGCAAATGAAGCCCGGGATTTAAATATCCCGGACTTCATTTGCATCTTCCCGTCCGGGCGCCATTTTTAAATCCCCTTAGTCCGAACTAAATGCCCGCGGTATACGCGGCAGTCAGATGTTAACTCAAACTAAATCCTTAGTTCGAGTTCTTAGTTTGAGTTAACATCTGACTGCCGCGTATACCGCGGGCATTTAGTTCGGACTAAGGGGATTTAAAAATGGCGCCCGGACGGGAAGATGCAAATGAAGTCCGGGATATTTAAATCCCGGGCTTCATTTGCAACTTCGAATGCCTACATTAGCCTCCCTAGTTAGAATTAGGGGGCTAGTGTAGACATACCCTCAGAAAGTTTATGGCTGAACCCTGTTTTCTGAACCTATTGAGACAAGTTTAAGAGCTACAGAAGTCTAAGGGAGAACTGATTTAGTTTGTTAGAGAAATTGATTCCATATATCTTTTGGTCAGTGCTTTCACTCATCCTGACAAAAGATGAAGACTCCGGTTGTTTGGTACGCACATCGTGAGATTTTGAGACATCTAAAGTAGCCAGCAGGAAACTACCATTCTGTCTTTGATGTAGTATGTAATGCCATGCACTACAGAGAAATTAGAATGCACCAAAGACTCAGGAAGGATGTATTTTAATCAACAAACTCAATGTTTGTCTTTTTATACCCTTATTCTATTTCAGATATGCAACAGTAAAAAAAACTGCCATTGTAATTTTGGTTGGGCCCCTCCAGACTGTAACTTAAAGGGATATGGAGGAAGTGTTGACAGTGGGCCCCCTCCGACTACAATTCGTAAGTTCTGTGAAAAATTAAGCATGTTATATTTTATCCTGTTTTTTAGTCTAAAGCCAGAAGGAATCTGGAACCTGTATTCTAATGTGGTCCTTGCAGCTCTCACCCAGGCCTTTGTTGCGTCCAGGTTTTACTGCAGCAATGTGGTCATCTTGGGGCTGCCCTTGAATAGAGCTGGAAATCTTTACTTACATAACACCCAAAAGGCATGATTCTGCTATCCTTACTCACATTAAGTGTAGCCTGATCTGAGTTTACGGATGTTCAGATGTTACACTATGTATTATTTTTACCCACCTTACTGGGTTTGAATGTTTGTGTCTTTGCTAGCTGTATTAATAAACTATTGTAAATACAGAAGTGTTCCTATAGTGTGAGCGTCGCATCTCCGCATATTAGAGCTTCAAACTACACAGTAATTTTAATAATATTTGACTTGACATGTGGAGAAGAACCTGGCAATTCTCAGAGTGATAATTGGGAATTCTTAAAAAGTCATACATAATCTGCAGATCAGATTACACTTAGTTTGAATAAGGATATCAAAATCATGCCTTTTCGATGTTAAATAAGTAACATAAGTTCCAGATCTGTTTAACGGCAGCACCAAGCTCACCTCTTCTCCTTTCCTGGACCAATGTGACCCCAGTCTTTGTAAACAGTGTCTATCCTATCTCCCTCTTGGTTGCCTAGTAGATCATAGGTGCAGGAGCTAAGAGTGCAGGGGGTGCTGCAGCACGTCCAAGTTCCTGGTCTAGTGCCTAAGTCCAGCTGCTGACTTTCACAACAGGGGCTCTGCTGCTGGCCATTCACACCACTGGGCTCTGCTGCCAGCCCCACACCCACGGTCCTGGCTGCTAGCCCCGCTTATTAGCACTTTGCTCCCAGCCTCACCTGGCAGGGGGTGAATGGGATAAAGGGAGTGAATTTCAGTACCCGCACTCTTAAAAATATCCCAGCGCCACTGTAAAAGACACTGAATCTGCCCTGGATTTTTCCTTCTTCTCAGGAATAGCATGGCTTTCCTGAGTTACAAGCACACAGAGGCTCAGGAACCTAGGTAAGTTCCTTGGGGTTTTGTTCACATTATTTTCCAGTCCTGGAGAAGAAGCGGGGCTGGCATCTAGTCCTTCAATTAGATTACTCAGTGACTTTACCAATATCAAGTACAGGTATCGCCAGTCTCTCCTCATGACTAGTTTCCAGTTCTCAACTTGCAGAGCACATGCTTTCACATAGTTCTCCTAGCCTGTTTGGAAGAGTACCTGAGATTCCAAGTGGGGAATTCTGTCAGTAAAGGTTCCTGCCCTTCAGCCTAGCAACCGCTCCAAAGAGTATTCATCAAGTGCTTGGCAGGAGTGACTAACATGAGAAAGCAGGGGACCCAGATGTTCTCAGTGGTGCTGTAACACTTTGAGAGTAGGTGCGCTGGTGGCCAGTGAATGCGGTGTATTCAACAGTAATGTGAAAAAATTGCAATTCCTGATCTCACCACACCGGTACAGCAGAGCACCAAGATTCTCAAGAATTGCTTCCTTCTGACAGCAACAACCAACTTTTCACACTGCAATCTGAGGGAACGTCTACTCTATGCAGAAGATGAATGCTGCAGCAGTCAACCTGTTGGGGTTCGATTTAGCAGGTGTAGTATAGATCCACTAGATTGAACTCAAAGGGCACCCCCATCAGCACTGATACTCCTGTTCTTCATGAGAAGTAAGGAAAGCTAATACTCCTGTCAGCCTTCTGCTGTGTGCACAGAGCAGAAACACAATGTAAGATGCATGGACGCCAGCAATGCAGTTTCCATAGCTGGAGTTGCGTATCTTACTTGGACCATCCCATGTAGTATAGACTAAGCCTGAGGTGCTTCAGCCATCCTTCTAATTCCCGTGCCTATTGGTATGCCAGTACAACATGGGTGGGCAAGATACGGCCTGCAGGCTGGATGAAGCCTACCAAGCCACTGAATCTAGCTCACACGCCACTCAATTTGGCCCATGGGCTGCCTAGTGCAGATCTATGGCAGGCAGGGAGCCTGGCTCAGGCTCCTGCTTGTCAGGAGCCATCTAGGTAAATACCTCCTGGCTGCAGACTGCCTCTGGCACCCCAACCCTTCACCCCCGCCCCCAACTCCCTGCCCCAGGTCACCACCCCCTCCTGGTTTAGGTCACCATCCAAATCTCTGCACTCTCCCTCCCTTCTCCCCCAAGTCACAAATCCCTCCCAAACTCTGCACCCCCTCCTTCACTCCTCTCTCAGGCCAGAATCATCTCCTGCACTCATACCCCCTCCCAGACCTTGCACTCCAAGCTCCTGTCCTGATCAAAATGCTTATCTGCCATGAGATTGATTCAACACCATAATAGATCTCAGCCAGCTGCTAGCTTATCCTTAAACATTGGAGAGTCTGCCTCAGACTTCTTGGTTGCATAGCCCCTTCTGTTTCTGTAACACAGCATGCCAGCCTTTATGTATGCTGCACGTAAGGATCATTAACATGGGACAATTATATCTGTTCAACAAACATATAGTGACACAATGGTGCAAATCTGCTGAGAAGTCCTCTCTCATCATTAACTTAGTAGAAGATCATCTCAAGAAATGCAAAAGAGTGTCATATTCTCTTAACTCCACATACCAAGAAACTGGTGATGGATGCCACCACACTCAGATGGGAAACTCACCTGAACCATGTTCAGACACAACCCCACTAGACTCCTGAAGAAACGTCACTATCATATAAATGTGCTAGAGAGCTCAGAGCTATTCATCTAACCTTCACCACATTTCTTCCCATACTGTGTGAGGACTAACAATCCAGTCCCTGACTATTCTTTATTTGAAGCCTCAAGATCTGAAGCAAAGATGTGGATAACACATCTTGAGGAACTACAGTAACTGTAGGCAAAATAACTGTTCTTTCTTCTTTGTTGTTTATAGTGTTGCTGTAGCCATGCTGGTTCCAAGATATTAGAGACAAAGCGGTCGAGGCATTATCTTTTATTGGACCAGCTTCAGATCTTTATTTAGGTAGATTCTGAGTACCAACCTCCTATCTATGAGGTCACAGCTTATGGATCACCAGCAGCAGGGAATACACTTGAACAATTACTGAAAAGAGTAAGGTGGGTGAGGCAATATCTTTGGTCTAAATTCTGTTGGTGAACAAGACAACTTTTCAGACTTACCCAGAGGTCATCTTTAGTTCTTGAAGAAGTTGAACTTGTTTTCATCAACAAATTTGGTCCAATAAAAGATATGCCTTACCCGATTTGTTATTCTTATATCTTGAGACCAGCATGACCAGGGCAAACACAACCTCAACAGGCACTTCTTGCCAAAAGAATCCTGTCTTGAGGATACAAGGCACTTGCGAACAAGAGGTGGAATACATGTGTACAACACATCTTGAAGAACCACAGTGACTTTAAGATCAATACGTGTTCTTTCTCCCTCTACATATTAATTCCTAGTCTCTCCTCCAACAGTCACAACATGCCTCATGCAATCCCCTTTCTACTGCACAAATATGCAGTTATACATATTTTGGTGCTGCTGACATCATGGAGATAGCTGGAGGCACCCAGAGACTTGAGTGCAGGCTGCTGCTCTGCAGTGTATGTATCTCCCAGAATTCTTTTTCCATGTGATGCCTTGAGTGTTTGTGCTAGCGCCATAGAGAAGTGCTTCTCTATGTGCATCACATACTTACTGGGAAGACCCTGTCTGGCCCAACTTCTCCTTTGCTGTGGAATAGAAGAATTGTGTCCATGTTTCCTGTGGCTCTAAATCTGTCCCCCCGAAGATAGTTGATGTAGAATACACTGGGGCTACGTCTACACTGGCCCCTTTTCCGGAAGGGGCATGTAAATTTCACCTATCGTCGTAGGGAAATGCGCGGGGGATTTAAATATCCCCCGTGGCATTTAAATAAAAATGTCCGCCGCTTTTTTCCGGCTTTTAAAAAAGCCGGAAAAGAGCGTCTACACTGTCCCCGATCCTCCGGAAAAAGCGCCCTTTTCCGGAGGCTCTTATTCCTACTTCAAAGTAGGCGAGCCCTGGGTGAGTTAGCTATTGTCATAACAGTAATGTGTGATCTGTACTGGGTATCTGTTCATTTGTGGCAGTTCTGGGTTTTAGGTGTGATGCTTGAAGCTCTACCCAGCCTGGAACCCAGGTGTATGACAGTTTGCTTCTCTCACATTGACAGTTAACATTTGCTAGGGTATTCCAGTTGAATTACCATGATAGGCAGAATTAGATAATTCTCAGTAATGTAAGGTATCATGGGATAAGAGGGAAGGTCCTTTTATGGACTGATAACTGGTTAAAAGACAGGAAACAAAGCGTAGGTAGGAATCAATGGTAGGTTTTCAAAGTGGAGAGAGGGAACTAGTGGGGTCCTCCAAGGGTCTGTCCTGGGACCAATCCTATTCAATTTATTTATAAATGATCTAGAGAAAGGGGTAAACAGTGAGGTGGCAAAATTTGCAGATGATACCAAACTGCTCAAGATAGTTAAGACAAAGCAGACTGTGATGAGCTTCAAAAAGATCTCACCAAACTAAGCAATTGGGCAAAAAAAGGGCAAATGAAATTTAATGTTGATAAATGTAAAATAATGCACATTGGAAAAAATAATTCCAACTATACAAACAATATGATGGGGACTAATTTAGCTACATCTACTCGAGAGAGATCTTGGAGTCATTGTGAGTAGTTCTCTGAAAGCATCCACTCAGTGTGCAGCAGCAGTCAAAAAAGCTAATAGAATGTGAGAAATCATTAAAAATGGGAGAGAGAATAAAACAGAAAATATCTTATTGCCTCTATATAAAACCATGATACACCCCCATCTTGAATACTGCATACAGATGTGGTTGCCTCACCTCAAAAAAGATATATTGGTATTGGAAAGGGGTCAGAAAAGGGCAACAGAAATGATTAGGGGTTTGGAACGGGTCCCACATGAAGAGAAATTAAAAAGACTTGGACTTTTCAGCTTCTATGCCTCAGTTTCTATGCAAATGTTTGTTACAAGTGTATGAATAAGGCCTGAGGATATGTCTATACTTGCTCCCTAGTTTGAACTAGGGACGTAAATGTAGCTGACCAAAATTGCTAATGAAGCGGGGATATAAATATCCTGCGCTTCATTAGCATAATCTCGCCTGCGCGCTATTCTGCTCTCCAGCTGATTTGAACCAGAAACTGCGCTCCGGGCCACATTAGTTCAAATCAAACCCCTTGGTTCAAACTAACATTACTCCTCATTTTTTTGAGGAGTAATGTTAATTTGAACCAAGGGGTTTGATTTGAACTAACGTGGCCCGGAGCGCAGTTTCTGGTTCAAATCAGCTGGCAAGCAGAATAACGCACGGGCAAGATTATGCTAATGAAGCGCGGGATATTTAAATCCCCACTTCATTAGCAGTTTCAGTTGGCTATATTTGCATCCCTAGTTTGAACTAGGGTGCAAGTGTAAACGTACCCTAAACAAAAACAAAAGGTAATGTTCTGTGTCTGTTTCTTCGCAAGTTTCCAGCAGTGATGTTATCATCATGGGAATAGCAATTGGAACCGCACTTCTTCTTCTTCTGGTTATCAGCCTGGCTGTGCATAAAAGAGCTCAGATGACTCGAATCTTTAGCAGGTAAGTAAAATTCAATGCGTGTTTACGTTATATGATAAGACTGTGATACTTTCACTTATCTCTAATCCCTGCTTCCTGAGTGTTACAGATAGGCTATATCTAGACTGCACTGCTTTTCAGGGATATTGGAGGTATTCTGGAAAAGCACTGCTGTGTCCAATGAACACGTCTGCTTTTCCGAAAAAATATTCGGAAAAAATATTGCCATGTAGACACACCAAATTTTGGAAAAGCCTCTTTCAAAATAAAAGCGGGAAAAGATACATAAATTGTGATTTGCAATTTGCGTATCTTTTTCCGGCTTTTCTTTTCAGTCTAGACATAGCCGTGGCTGTAAGCCTGCCATGCACTGCTGGCCACCTTCAAAAAGTACCCGTTACGTTTCCTACCTAGATCTGGTTGGGCTCCACACTTCTGGATACTTACCAGACTTCAGTGAAGAAATCCAGACCAAAGCTTGTAGGGAATTTTCTGCCAAAACTGAGTTTAGTCAGAAAATGCCTGTTAGGCAGAATTAAATGTTCCATCAATTCTAGTACAGATTCAATTAAACCCTCATCAAACACCATATCCCCCCAGTGCCAATGAAAGGAGAAGGACTGGTCTAGTGTGCTTTACCTTCCCAACTTTCTCTTAGCTTCAGGGACATAGGAAGAGCTTTGGAAGTTCGGCCTCTCCACTTTCCCATCTGTTTGTAGGGAACAGACATGCAGCACTCCAGGATAACAACTTACTTTCTTTAGGAATTTGAGGGAATTGGCAGGGGAAAAGAGTGAAGAGATTCTTGCATCTCCAGGAGCAGGGCTGGAGCCCTCTTGTTAATTTATTGTGAAATTTATTAGAGATTTCCTTGAGAGTAGCTGGGATACTAAGAAAATTTAATTTTGATTATCTCAAAACCCTTTCTTTAATTTTTTTTTTTTGTGGTTTTGCTTTTCTGCAAAACTATGACTATTTTAACAGAAAGAAACTCCCACAAACACTTCCTCTTTTTGCCCAGCGCTAGTATTCATATTGAATCCCCAGTGTTCTTTCCTTGCCGGCACGAGATTGAGCTTAGGCACTGTTCCTGGCTTTGTGCAGGCCTGCACAATCCCCATATATAACAGTCTTCAGTAACAGAAATGCCCTCTTGAATTCTACTGCAGTCTCTCCTGATAGACTTTCTTAGAAAGAGACCATGAGACTTTAAGTCCTTCAAGACTTCAACAATGAAATTTTCCAAATATCCTTTGTCAGCACAGAGAAGTTTAGATCAGCTCAGAGATGACTGGATGCCCAAGAAAAGAAGTGCTGTCGAGACTCCAAACTCCTTCAGTACCGAGCGCCACATACCATCTAAAAGAAGATTTTCAGTGGCTCTACCGAGCGCCACATACCATCTAAAAGAAGACTTTCAATGGCTCTAAGTCTCTTTGTACTCATGACTGTTGATTACCACCAACTTACCTGTGCTGTGAGTCTGGTACCAAAGAAATAATAAAAGAGACACTATGATGTTTCCAAAATTCTCAGTATGGACCACTGTAGCTGCCATAATATCCATGGCTTTGCATCTCAGAAAATTACTGTGCAATCATATTGCCAGAAACCAGCAAAGACCAGAGTACTATCAGTTCTGACACTTGTCGGCTTGGACTCAAACTACCCCCCTCTATGTCTATTCAGTTGATCCCACTACTGTATGAATTTAGCTTTCCTAAAGAGTTTCCTCTGCTCACAGGTACACAGGCTCTTTCAGCATCCCACTTGTCCTTATTCCCTGGTACCAGAAAACTATCCTGTACTGAAAAGACCATGAATAAGGACACACTTATACCCTGGCTATTTCCTCGGTGACAGATTCATAACATTAGCAGATCCAGGCAGGGTCATTCAGGGGAGTCCATGAATCTTGGTCTATTACTGTGTACATCTTCTGAGCCATATGGTAGTTTGCAACTTCATGACCAATCATGCAAGACTACACCACTGTTTTTTTTACACCACTGACGTATTTCCTGAAGAGGCAATTTGTGGTTTCCCTCCCTGTGAAGAACTCTGTCGACTGGAGGGAAAATCAATTCAGTGTCTTTGCTGGCACTTCATTCACCCACCTCTATCAATAAGCTTCACAAGATATAGATCTCCCTTGAGAATTGGAGCTCATGTCAGTATTCTCACAAATCAGGGTAGATGGTCATTCCTGGAAACCAATCTCTACAACAACCTGTTGGAAGTCAGGACAGTCAGGAAGGCCGGCTGTCATTTCTCACCCCTCATCAGGTTAAATAAGTTAGCTCATGATGGGCAATGTGGCCTGCATATTCTGCATCAATAGAAAAGGAGAAATAAGGTCTCCTACTCCATGTGATGAAGCAGTGAAGCTGTGGAACTGGTATACAGCCCAAGAGATCCAAATTTCAGCAGTTTACCTACCAAGTGTTCAAAACACCAAAGCAGATATTTTCATTAGGTAGAACATAAGATCTAATCCAAGAGGTGAATATAAATGGACTGCTTGGTAATAGTGACCATAATATAATTAATTTCACATCTTTGTGGCAGGGGAAACACCACAGAGTCCCAATGATGTAGCACGTAATTTCAGAAAGGCATCTTCTCAAAATGAAGCATAATAATTACAATTTCAGCATATTTGCAAACTGTATTGTCTAAATAGCATGTGGTTTGTATTGTAGGTCTTCCAGAAAAAAACAAACAACACGAGGTAGTTCTAGTGCTTCAGACAGAGTAAGTTTTTTTTTCAGATAGTTCACTTTGATTACTCTTTAATATGTGAAGAACATGCATGAGCATTTAGAAAACTTGTCTTCCTTTTTTCAATTAGGAAAACAATCATGCAGATTTGCAAATAATAAATCCACATTATGACAGGAAGCACAGGAGTATTACTACTATTACCAAATAAGGTTCCTAAAACCATTCCATATTAATCCTTCATTTTCAGTTAGTGCTACGTCTAGCCCTATACCTTAGCTGATGACAGTAGCCAGTGGCAGAGTCTCAGAGGGAGTGCAGAGAACAGAAGATCATTGGCTGATGTCTTTCATTGTCCCACTTTGAGCTTCTGGCAATCAGAGACTAGGGATGCTCAGAGTGTGGGGTGGCACCCCTGGCCAGCTTGGATATTAGCCATTGATGAACGTATCTTCATGAACTTACCTAGTTATTTTTTTAACCCTGTTGTATTTTTGGCCTTTAACATTCACTGATAGTGAGTTCCACTGGACACATGATGGGATTTTCTTTCCCTTATGTACTAATTGTTGGATTGGAACCTAAATTATTGTTATACTAGAAATTTCATAACTAAATCAGTGTAAGTACTCGAGCAAAAAAATGCATTGCAAGATGCTACACATACACATGGCTGTGGAAAAAATGTGTAATGATATGAAAATTGAGCATGCAGTACAATATCCTAATACATTTAGGGCTTAACTAGACTACAGCTTTTTTTGGCAACCCCCCCTTTTGTCGAAAAGCCACGTAAACCTCATTTTTTGAGGAAGGGCAGCTTTTTGACGAAGGGGGAAGGGGCTCGCTGAAAAAGCTGTGTCTAAAATTATTTTCACTTTCAAAAGCTCTGCTTTCGAAAGTGCTATTGGAAGAAGATATGCAAATACCCACAGAATTTGCATATCCTCTTTTGACTGTTCTGTGAAGTCTGGATAAGGCCTTACAGAAGGAGCAAAGTTAAGGTTGTTTATGCAACTGGCTGAGTCTCGGAGGCATTCTGTATTTTGTATTGTCATCTTTCTTTATTTATATATCAGGTAATCCTGGACTCTGTGATTGTTTATATTTTAATTTTATAATAGTTTTCTAAAGAATAAGATGTATGAATAGGGAAATTTTTATTATGAATCTAAAGAAAGAAAGAAAATGTCCTGATTTGGCAGCTTAGCTGTACAATTGGAAGGTCTCATAACAGCTTTTTTTTTTTTTTTTTTTTTAATGTTTGGAATAATAATAAGTATGACATGGAAACTGGTAGGTTTAACAGATAATTTTTCTATGTTGTACAAACTTTTGTATTTTCCAAAATGTTTCTGAAGAACCGTTGTATAGAACGCTATATACCAGATCTTGAATAACTATAAACAGGAGAAAAAAAATGTTGTTACATGATGTTTGACAGGTGGCTATATTATGTTTTAACCATTGTACTTTTTCTTTTGTTTTTTAGAAGGCGGTGAAGAAAAAAAGCAGTGTTCGGTCAAACAAATAGCTCCCCTTCTAATTTTTAAACAGAATACAGACTATTGGAATATTGAAAAAGCAATGTTTTTCTTACAAGTTCAGCCATTGAAAGAATATGTGGAACCCTACAGAGATAGTGGTGTGTCAAAACTCCTGGTTGCTTGGGATTCATGGAGAATTACCTGGGTTTTTTAAAACTGTTTATTTTGTTATTCTGTTCCACTTTATTTAAATAAATTGGTTTTGTCCTTTTCTTACTGTATGCGCAAAAGTGTGTCCTAAGAATTTCATAGACTTTCATCCTGCTTCTACGTTGGTCCTGTCCTCTTTATCCCTGGGATTTATCCCTAGAACTCTCTTGCTCTAGGAAGCAGAAACTTAGCTGTTCTTTAAGTGCATGCACATATCCATTCTGCTGTGTGTGTGTACACACCTCATGTACTGTTGTCAGAGAACTCTTTCCTTTGTTAGTACCTCCTGTGAGACTTGAGTATCCTATGTTGCCACATGTCACTGCATGTTGGCATAAGAGGGTGGAGCTGCTCTCAACCTCCCTGTGACTGGGCGAGCAGGCCCTGCACTGCAGGGCTGGGAGTAGCCCAGGCCCAGCTGGCTGAAAGGGCCCTGCCCTTCCGGCCCTGCTGGGCATGCTCCCGGCCCCTCTATCAGGGCATATATAGTGTCTGTCATGGACCACCCGCTGATCCTGACCAGGCTTTTCCAGAAAATCAGCCTGCCAATGTAGACGCTCCTTTTCTGGAAAAACTGAAAATGGAATAGTATTCCGTTTTAAGCATTTCCGGAAATTCATGCCAGTGTAGACACAGCTTAGGAGCTTGACTCCCAGTGGAAGCAGGTGGGGGCTTGCCCCTAAACTCGCCTGCTCACGGGCTTCGCGACCCTCCCTGGGCCTGACGACCCCGCCGGCGGCGGGCTTAACTCTCCCCGCTCCACCCTGGCGTGGGTAACTCAGGCTCCCAGCCCGCTGGTTCCTCCCCAGCCCTGGTACCTGCTCCTCCGTTCCCCTCCTGCTTCCCTCCTCCTCTTCCCTGGCTCACCTGGCCCCTTTTATCCTCCCCTCGGCCGCTTTTCCCCACTTACGGGTTCCCGGCGGCCATTTTGTCGGTCGTGCCGGTGACGTCATCTCCGAGCGCGGCTGCGCGCCGTCTTCCCCGCCCTCGGGCCGGCCAGCCGCAGCCTTCCCCATCCCCCGCCCGTCTCAGGGGCCTTCCGGAGGTGGGTTCCCCGGGGCCGCCGCTGCATAACCGGCGGCTCCTGTAGCCACGGACGGTCCTTCTGTCCATGGCTGGTGACGGGGTTGCTCCACCCTGTCACAGTGTCACTCTGACTACTTCCCTGCCACAAGTCTGGAGGCACTAAACATCAACTCGAAACAAAAAAAGTAGATTCAAAGAGATGGAACTTTTTTAGATGCAAACTTCATTCCACAGGATATTGAAAAA